TTCGCATTTGCGAAGCCTGGCTCGCAAATGCGAAGATTTGATCGCAAATGCGAAGGTGCCCACTTTGTTCAGGGATCGCAAATGCGGAACTGGGACTATCGCAAATGCGACCCTTTTGGTCGCAAATGCGAAGTCCCCCATTTTGACCAGTGTTCGCAAATGCGAACCATATCTCGCAATTCCCATAACTGGTCGGGGTTCACAATTGCGAACCCCAGTTCGCATTTCCCACATCTGAGGCCCAGCATATTTTATACTTAGTCGAATTTGAACCATTTTTCACCATTCTTTCAAAACACAAACTCCTTGGGCAATTTTTCAAGAACAAATTTCCTTCCAAATCATTTGTAAGTTGATTTTTACTCAAATCTTTCAGTAATTAATATCATTTAACATGTTTTCAACTTAAAATCAATGATTTTCATGGGTGAAATTGGGGGTTTTGGGCAGAACCTAGGTTTTCAAAAAATTTGGGGATTTGGACCTCAATTTGAGGTCCGATTTCAAAACAAATTACATATTTGAGTTCGTGGGGAATGGGTAACCGGGTATTGGTTCGAACCTCGGGTTTTGACAGCGTGGGCCCGGGGGCGATTTTGGAATTTTTGGGCAAAACTTTGAGAAATTCATTTTTATGCATTCAAATTGATTCATTTAGTGTTTATTTAAGTAATTAAGTAATTTGTGACTAGATTCGAGCGGATTGGAGGTGGAATCACGGGGTAAAGCTATAATTGAGGCTTGAGTTGTATTCAAGGCATTGAGGTAAGTGTTTGGTCTAACCCTAGCTTGAGGGACTAGGAGATGAGTCTTATTTGCTAATTGCTTCTTGTCGAGTACGACGTATAGGCATGGTGACGAGTATCATACGTTGGTGTCTAGCATGACCGTGAGTCTTTAAATTGTGAATATCTTGATTTCATTGTATTCCTCTTACCTTGGTGATGATTCCTATTTGTTGTGAAAAGCTTGTGAAAGGAAATTGTGACCTATGAACATCGAGGAGCATTGGCTCAAGTTATATCTCAAATCTGAAAGTATATGAAATGATTAAACCCTTTGGAGCATTGGCTCAAGCGGTAAAGTTTGATATGAAATAAAAGTTAAAGAAATAGAAAGTGTATTTAAATTGTTCCCTTGCCGGGATATTGTTGCTTATTGATTATTTTCCCTTGCCGGGACGTTGAGATTATTGATGTTGTACCCTTGCTGGGATTTAATTGTTTAATTGTGTTCCCTTTCCGGGATTTCTATTATTTTGTTTATTCCCTTGCCCCTTGTTTGTGATTGTTGTTTGGGTGAGGAAGAGTGTAAAGCACGAAGGGTGATGCCGTGCATTGTTTGTTATTGTGAGGAAAAAGTTTAAAGCACGAAGGGTGATGCCGTGCATTGTTTGCTATTGTGAGGAAAGAATGAAAAGCACGAAGGGTGATGCCGTGCCGCACGATGTACCATTCTGTGCCAATTCTATTGATTATATGTGAGGAAAGAGAGTAAAATCACGAAGGGTGATGCCGTGCCGCACGATGTACCATTCCGCGCCAATTCTATTGATTATATGTGAGGAAAGAGAGTAAAAGCACGAAGGGTGATGCCGTGCACATTTTATTATTCTAATTGCTTGGTAAGGACGAGAGTAAAAACACGAAGGGTGATGCCGTGCACTTGTCTTTGATTTTCTTGATTTTTGCTGATAATTGAGTTATGTTGTCCTCTACTTCTATTTATTGATTTTCTTGTTGTTATCGGTTCAAGTGCATTAATTGTCTTATTCCGCTATTACTGAGTTTCTTTATGTTGGCATTTTCCTTTATTGTGTTACTTGTTATTATCGGCTCGAGATATCCTTACGCAACATTATGCATTGAAATTAGGCTATAATTGCTATATGTTTATGTGATTTAATTGCTACTTAACATTTAGCATACTAAATATTAAATTGCCTATTTGCTCCTTAAAGTCTATAATTAATTGCTACTTGTCATTACTTGTTTTCTTCAGTGAGTCATAATTATTGTGTACTTGTTGTCTTATGAATTCGTATAAATTGTTGCATTTGTTGGAGTAAATTTCATTTTTAAGAACTGTTGACTTAATGAAATGGGAGCGGATGGTACGCCTACCACGAGATTTAATAAAATGGGAGGGGTTGTTACGCCTACCACAAGATATTGATGAAATGGGAGCGGGTGGTACACCTACCACGGAAACATTGAGGAATGGGATCAGGTTGCACGCCTGCAACGAGATGTGTACAGACAGTGAAATCTGCTTTTATTTTCCTTACCCGTGTTAGAGATAAATTATTGATGTTCCTTATTATTCTCTTTAATTTCCGTATTATCTGCTATCCCCGAAGCATGTTCCCTTCCTATTTAAAAATGGTTATTATTGTTATTTTCCCGCTGTAGATATATATATAACTGCACAGGTTTATGTGGTAGTCCTGTCTAGCCTCGTCACTACTTCGCCGGGGTTAGGCTAGGCACTTACCAGCACATGGGGTCGGTTGTGCTGATATTACACTCTGTGCTCTTTTGCACAGATCCAGGTGCTAGACAGCAGTTGCAGTAGCGCGGGAGTTAGCCTTCAGTCCAGCGAGACACCGAGGTAGCCTTGCAGGCGTTCGCAGGCCCGACGTCTCTTCTATCCTTATCTCAGTCTGTTATCTCATGTATTTCGAGACAAACAGTTATATTTCTTTCATACAGTTGTGTTTAGCACTCTTAGTAGTTCGTGAGTATGTGACACCAGTTCTTGGGCAGAGATTTATGTTGATTTCCGCATTGTTGTTCAGATTCTTTAAGTTAAGACTTCCGTTTATTTACTTTATCCCGCTATTTTTATGATATTACTGATAATTGATAAAAGAAATAATTTGTTAATGATAAAGGTAGTTAAAGGTTGGCTTGCCTAGCTCTCATCAGTAGGCATCATCACGACTCCCGAGGATGGGAAATCCGGGTCGTGACATATTCCCACTGAGGTTTTTATGTTATGATATGTATATGATCTTAAATGCTCGTCACTGCACTCAGCCTTTATTTATAATTGTTACTTACTGAGTTGGCGTACTCACTTTATTCCCTGCACCTTGTGTGCAGATCCAGGTGCTAGAGTATCTAAGTGAGAGTTGTTCTTTCTTTCAGAGCATCTCCGGAGTTAGCAAGGTAGCTGCATGGCGTCCGCAACCCTGCCTTTCTCCTTCCTATCTTTTAGTATTTGTTTTTATCAGACTCATCTTGTATTGAGTAGTCAGTTTCAGATTGTATTTTAGTGGCTCATGACTAGTGACACCGTGATCGTGCAGTATTTGATGTTTTGCATATTTGTTTCCGCTTGTTTTGAAATGTTTAAACGAAAGATTTGTGATAATATCTGACTAGTAAATGAATTAAGAAAAAACCCTTTTTGAGTTATAAATATCGAATCGGCTGGCCTAGTACTACGATAGGCGCCATCACGATCGGGGTGGTTGGGGATCGTGACAAGTTAGTATCAGAGCCTAGGTTACATAGGTCTCACAGTCATGAGCCGGTTTAGTAGAGTCTTGCGGATCGGTACGGAGTCATCTGTACTTATCTTTGAGAGGCTGGAGAACCTTTAGGAAAAACTTCACATTCTTGAATCCCTGTCGTGCGAATCTGTTGATTCTGGTAACTAAACTTCTGTTATTCTATTCTCTCACAGATGGTGAGGACACCTTTGTTAGAACTTATTTTAATGATGCAAATTAATGATGCATGTGCAGAAGTTGCCATAACAAACAAGGATATCGAAGCTGTCCCAAATATTATGATGCACAAGGAAAGAATCAATTCTACGAGATTGACTCCATGATTCTGGGAAATCAAAGTTGCAGCAATGGAATAAGGTGAACATTGAATAAGTTTCTTCGACTTGAGTTGGGTTAAAAGCACGGAATGTTCTCGATGGGGCGGGGAAGGGATATAACTCAGCGGTAGAGTGTCACCTTGACGTGGTGGAAGTCATCAGTTCGAGCCTGATTACCTCGGGAGCTAATGAAACTATTTTAGTAAAATTTAATTCTCTCAATTCCCGGGCGATTGCACCAAAATCCCATCAATCGAATCACTTTTTCGAGAAATACGAGACATCTAAGTCATACAAATAAAGAGATCTATTACATTCGAGCCGTTTTTTTCTTGACTCGAAATGGGAGCAGGTTTGAAAAAGGATCTTAGCGTGTCTAGGGTTGGGCCAGGAGGGACTCTTAACGCCTTCTTTACTCAACGCAATCCATGATTATCGAGCCAAATCAAATCACCGGAGATCACTCAATGCTAGAAGATCCGGACAGCAGTCAAGAACGGAAGGGTTGCACAAATCAAGGAAGAGTTCTGTCAAACTCATTGATTGCCAAAGGAAAAAATCTGAGGAGATGCAACGGCTAATACCTTATTCTTGGAAAGAATTAACTCTTTCCAGGGATCGAATCCCTTGGGTTGACAAGCCTTCACCAACCATCATTGTATAAATACATAGTGCAACTCCACCCTTAGTATACTTTGATCTGACCAAATTCACTCTCTTCAATTTACTGCAAACAATCATAGTAGCCTAGATAGATCTGCTGTGTAACAAGTCAGGAATAGAAAGAGAGCGTTCAACTGGTGAGGCATTGTATTCAACGAGTGCCAATAGAACTGAGAGACAAATACCGACTCTGTACTCGAAAGAAAATTCATTTGCTTGAAGAGAAATCCCTTGCAACCCAAGGGGACTGGATTAGGATTCACATTGAATCCGAAAGTATAAAAATCCTGGTGTCTTTAATTTCTGCATTTACTTTCTGTTTATTATTTCAAATCTGTCTGTCTGCAAGTATTACGATTTTAAGTCGACTACTAAAGTTTTAAGTCAACTTATCACGATTTAATTAAATTATATACAATTCATCGCCCTCTTGTACTTTCAATTGGTATCAGAGCTAGGCTCACACTTTTGCTTTTTGCTTAGCAGCTTGTGAGAAAAAGATCATGGCAAATCAAGTTATTGTAGGAGCTCTATTTCAGGAAGGAACCTGTCAAGTGAGACCACCTTACTTCAATGGACAACACTTCTCCCACTGGAAAATCCGCATGGAAATCTTCACCAAATCATACGATGTCAAAGTATGGAGAGTTATCAAAAATGGGAACTACCCACTGCCTGCCAGCACACCACCACTCGCTGACCCTGATGATATAGACTCATACTCAAAGAAACAATTGGAAGCTGTTCAAATAAATCACAAGGCAAGGAACCTGCTTCATAATGCAATAAGTGGTGAAGAATATGAAAAGATTTCCAGTTGTGATACTGCTAAAGAAATGTGGGATAAACTCGAAGTCACCTATGAAGGTACCAGCAAGGTAAAAGAAACCCACATAAATATACTGGTTCACAACTATGAATTATTCTCAATGAAAGAAGGAGAATCCATTGAAGAAATGTTTGCCCGGTTCAGTAAGATAATCAGCGACCTAAAAGCTTTTGGCAAACCATACTCCAGTGGCGATCAGGTTAGGAAAATTCTCAGAAGTCTACCAACCACCTGGCAGACTAAAGTCGTCACCTTGGAATCTCAAGATCTAAATAAGTTGTCATATGATGAACTGCGAGGAGAGCTCATTGCTTTCGAAAGAACACATCTGAAGAAGACAAATCAAGAGGAGAAGAAGAAAACTGTTGCATTCAAAGCTACTACTGAAGCTGCTGAAAATGAAGTTGATGATCCTGAAACTCTACAAGAGAAAATTGCTATGATGTCTAGAAACATGGATGGATTAATGAGAAGATATAGAAATACAAAGAAAGGAAGATTTCCACCAAGAAGATCTAGACAATACAATGAACAAGATAAGAACGATGGAAAATGCTATGAATGTGGAATGTTTGGACACATCCAAGCAGAGTGTCCAGAACTAAAGCAAAAGATCCCCAGAGGATTCAACAAAAACAGATCATTTCGAAGCCGGAGTGATGAGGATGACTCAGACCACGAAGAAATAGCAAATCTCTACTTCATGACAATTCTTGAAAACGAGATTAACAAAACTTCAGGATGATGGACAGATGAAGACGATTCAGACAATGAGAGCTGCTTCATGGCAAAAGGAGAAACTAGCGAGGTAAGACCTTATGACTGTGAGAGATGCAATGAATTACAAGACATTCTTGACTCCACCCTAAAGGAGTCTCAGAAAATGATGAATGAACTCAAGAGATTCACCAGGGAAGTCAAAGACTGGAAACTCAAACATGAAGTATGTGAAATTGAAAAGGACGTACTTCAAGAAGAGTTTGAGGAATTGCAAATGCAGTTTAACAGCTTGCGCAAATCTACCAGTCATAGCTCTGTTAGGTCAAACCAGACGACTTACAAGTCAACTGGTAAAGAACCAATTAGAACTAGATCGACTAGTCGATCAAACCAGTCGACTTACAAGTCAACTGTAAAGGAATCAGCAAATCCTACAACTGCTAATTCCAACTCATATGAAAGACCTGAAGACAGTTCTGGGATCAAATGTCATTATTGTAACAAAAGTGGGCATAAATATTCTAGCTGTCAATTTCGTAAATCTCAAATGTCCGGATGGGTTTGGAAACCTAAAAACTCCGAACCTAGTAACACTAACTCACCAGGACCCAAGCAAGCTTGGGTACCTAAAAGAAAGTAATATTTCTGTATTGCAGGAACACCACAGAATAAAGCGCAAAGGAAAATGGTACCTAGATAGTGCGTGTTCCAGTCACATGACAGGTGACAAAAGGTTGTTTAAGGAAGTTACAAAGATTGATGGAGGAAACGTCAAATTCGGAGATGATTCACGAGGCAAAATAGTTGGCACTGGAACCATTCCTTTCAACAATAGCTGTGATATTACTGAAGTATATCTGGTTGATGGATTAAATTATAATCTTCTCAGTATAAGCCAACTCCGCGACTCAGGATATGAGGTAAAATTTAAGAGAACTGGATGTGCCATCGAAGACGAATCAGGTAAAATAATCCTTCCTGGAAAAAGGTACGGAAATATTTATATACTTGATGGTTTTGAAAATATAGATGGTCACATATGCCTAACCTCTATGTCTGATGATCCCTGGTTGTGGCATAGACGTCTTGGTCATGCTAGCATGCATCAAATTGAGAAGTTATCCAAACATGATTTAGTCATTGGGTTACCCAAATTGAATTTTTCTAGGACTCACATTTGTGATGCATGTCAGATGGGTAGCAAACTAGAAACTCTTTCAAAAATAAAGACATAGTATCTCCCTCAAAACCCCTGCAATTATTTCATATGGATTTATTTGGACCAACTAGAACTGCTAGCATAGGAGGTAAGAAATATGCTTTTGTTATTGTTGATGACTTTTCACGTTTCACTTGGGTAATTTTTCTGTCTCATAAAGATGAAGCCTTAAGAACTTTGAAGTCTTCTGCAAAAAGATTGAGAGAGAAAAGGGTTATCCTATCTCCATAATCCAAAGTGATCATGGAGGCGAGTTTGAAAGCAAGGCATTTGAAGATTTCTGTAATGATCAAGGGTACACTCACAACTTCTCTGCTCCTCGCTCACCTCAACAAAACAGAGTTGTGGAAAGAAAAAACAGTACTCTTCAAGACATGGCAAGAACCATGTTGCTAGAACATTCTCTGCCAAATCATTTCTCGGCTGAAGGTGTGAGTACTGCATGTCACATTCTAAATCGATGTCTCATAAGGCCCATTCTGAAAAAGACTCCGTATGAACTATGGAAAGGTAAGCGTCCTAACATCAGTTACTTTCATCCATTTGGAAGTAAGTGTTTCGTCCATAACAACGGTAAGAAAATCTTGGAAAATTCGATCCACGTAGTGACGAAGGTATTTTTCTTGGTTATTCTTTAAATAGCAGATCATTTAGAGTTTTTAATAAATGAACTTTGTGCGTTGAAGAATCAGTTCATGTCATTTTCGATGAAAATAATCCCATGGTCAAGAAAGGTATCAATGCAGGTGAAGAAGAACAAACTCAAGATGTTCAGGACAAAGGAAAATCATAGGAGTCACCAGTCTCACAGATGTAGCCAAGTCGACTGAACAAGTTAGCAACAACACTCCAGAACATCATGTGGAGTCGACTACTAGCATTGTTCGAGTAAATGAGTGGAGAAATGAATCTGAATTTCCACAAAAATATATCATAGGGGATCCAAACGAAGGTATGAAGACCAGAGCTGCTCTCAAAAAGAAAGCAAATATTGCTCTGATCTCTCAAATAGAGCCAAAAAAGGTAGAAGAAGCGCTGAAGGACTCAAGCGGGGTGAAAGCCATGCAAGAGAAACTAGATCAATTCAGCAAAAATCAAGTATGGAAGCTGATACCCCGAACTGAAAATGTTTCCGTCATCGGAACGAAATGGGTGTTCAGAAACAAACTAAATGAAGAAGGTCAAGTCATAAGGAACAAAGATAGACTAGTTGCTCAAGGCTATTCACAACAAGAAGGAGTTGACTACGATGAAACCTTTGCTCCAGTAGCCCGATTAGAGTCTATACGAATCCTGCTAGCTTATGCATCATTTAAAGGATTCAGATTATTTCAAATGGATGTCAAAAGCGCTTTTCTAAACGGATTCATTGAAGAGGAGGTTTTTATGAAACAACCACCAGGCTTTGAAGATTCAAAATTTCCTTATCACATGTACAAACTCACAAAGGCCCTATACGGACTGAAACAGGCTCCACGTGCTTGGTATGACAGGTTAAGTACCTTTCTTGTTGATCATGGATTCACCAGAGGTAAAATTGACACTACTTTATTCATTAGACGGTCAACAGAAGGTAATCTTATAATTCAAATTTATGTTGATGATATTATTTTTGGAAGCGCTAACCCTCTTATGTGCAAAGAATTTTCAAATCTCATGCAAAGTGAATTCGAAATGAGTATGATGGGTGAACTCACATTCTTCCTTGGGCTTCAAATTCATCAATCTGAAGAAGCAAACTTTATATGTCAAACAAAATATACCAAGGAGCTGATTCAGAAGTTTGGCATGAGCAATGCCAAATCAATTGGGACTCCTATGAGTCCGGCCACAAATTTGGATAAAGATGAACAGGGCACTCCAGTTGATAAAACCAAATACAGAGGAATGATTGGATCTCTACTATATCTAATCGCTAGTCGACCGGATATTATGTTTAGCGTCTGTAAATGTGCCAGGTTTCAGTCGGCTCCCAAAGAGTCACATCTAACTGCTGTCAAAAGAATTATTCGATATCTTATTGGTACAGTATCTCATGAGTTGTGGTATCCTCGCTCAAACTCATTTAAATTAGAAGGTTTTTCAGATGCAGATTTAGCAGGTGATAAAGAAGACAGGAAAAGCACGAGTGGCACTTGTCAATTACTGGGAAAGGCCTTAATATCCTGGAATAGTAAAAAACAAGCATCAGTCGCCTTGTCGACTACTGAAGCTGAATACATAGCTGTTGGTCAATGTTGTGCACAACTACTGTGGATGTCCCATCAATTGGGTGACTATGAACTCTCTTTTAAACCTATATAGATTTTTTGTGATAATTCTAGTGCAATTTGTCTCTCTAAAAATCCTGTGCATCACTCTAGAGCAAAGCATATAGACATTAAACATCATTTTATTAGAGATCATGTTCTTAAAGGTGACATAGAATTAGCTTTTGTTGGTACCTCTACCCAATTAGCTGATATTTTTACTAAACCACTGTTAGAAGATAGGTTCTGTTCTTTACGACAATCTCTTGGCATTATTTGTGTTTTAAAGAATTGTTAGGACCAAAGTGTTAAGTTTCAAAAAATTGTCATAATTGTTTGTCTTCAGCGCATTAATTACGCCGTCAGTCGTTTCCCTCTCTTTTTAGCTTGTTTCCCATCAGTTTGCAGTCGAAGTTGGAAAGCCAATCATCACGTCACTTCATCTGACACCTTTTCCTTTTCTGTACTCAACCGTCAATTCCTCTCCTTTTTTAAGTTAGTCCTTTTCCGTCTCTCTATCTCCTCCATCTCCCTCAACCTCTACCAACTCCCCTTTTCACCCTGTACCAACCCTATTTTCTCCCATGGCTAAATCTTCCAAAAACCCCTCTGCTTCCACCAGAAAGAGTACCCGCTCAAAATCAAAACCCTCTTCCATGCCCCCTGAACAAGTAGATTTAAGGTTCGATCGTTCCGAAGGTTGTGCCTCTTCTCAAGGAGGCTACTCAGAACACTCCCTACCTTTAGGTGACAAAGCCTCCGGAAAGCGTCCCATGGAGGAACCCCTTGCTTCTACTCCAAAGAAATCAAAGTTCGATTTCTCTGCCACTCTAGAATCCGACCTCAACTTCTGGGACACCCTAAATAAGGATTTCTTTGTTTCTCTTAAGGACAAGCCCATTGCCCATGGTAGAGTGGTAGATCTCGATCTTATGGAGTCCCTCAATTTCAAGGTAAAGGATCTTTTTATGTATCAAGGGTGGGAAAAATTTCTCTCTGTTTCTCCGCCTAAAGTCTATGAACCCCTCGTCCGTATGTTTTACGCTAATCTTCGCTCCAATAAACCTGATAGGCTTGAAACTCTTGTTCTTGGTAAACGCATTGTTCTTGATTGTGGTGTGTTTGACTCTCTTTTTCTATGTCGTTGCTCTGGTTTCCCAACTGTGTTTAATAATGTCTGGCCTGAGGACTTTGAAATCACCTTTGACCAGGCCAAACAGTGCATTGCAGAAAATCCCTCTGAGAACCTTCCAAATCAGTTAGGGCCCAGTGATGTCAGTTTTGAAACTAGGGTTCTTGCTCACATTGTTGCCACCACTCTCCTTCCCAGAACTGATTCGTTCTCAACCCTCTCTCAACGGGACACCTTCTTTGTTTAATGTCTTATCTCCAACCTCAAAATCAAGTTGTCCTCCTGGGTTATCAATTTCATGATTGAGAGTGCAGAAGATCCAACCAGTCTTCCCTATGGTATGGCCATCACCCACATTTTAGAAGCCCATCAAATCCAGCTTTCAGATTACCCCTCTGTTCCTGTGTACAAGTGCTACAACTCTA